TGTTGTAGTAGATAACACTTGCTGGAAATGTGTAAAAAGCAAAAAACAGAATTTTATATTGTGCCAAGGTGCTAAAGTGCCAAATCTCATGACAAACAAGTGACTTTACATGCAAAACTAGTCTGAGCATGTGATCACTGGTGGGATTAACATGTAACGTGTTAACATCAGTGTCTGTTATGATAGGTTGCTCATCAGAGAAATAGACTAAGGGATTGTCTTATTGTCTTAGTCTTAGAGGGTCTTAGTGTGTGCCGTGTGTTTTGAACAACTAAAGGTCTCAAGGGGAGGCTGAGGAGGGTTGGTTGCTGAAGACAAGTGACAGTTGTTAGTGTGGTGTTGCCAAGTTCAGCAGTTCAAAATCCCAGAGCACAGACCTCTGAATGACAACATCAGCCAGGTCACACAGAAAGAGATTTAGCAGCCTTGATATATCCTTTACAGACTCACTAAATCCCTGTGGTTCTAACGTTGTTCGGGGTACACACACTGTGATGAAGAGAGTTCAGGATCAGAAGTGCGTGAGAACAAACTTACATGATTTCTCAACGAGCGCGTTAACCTCAAACACACGCTGCAATATCTGCGCTAGCCCAGCCTCGCAGTCAGGGATCAGCTTGGTTCCCTGCGACTTGTACTTGCACTGTTGGAGGAGACATTAATTTATTGTTTAACATATAATCACAAGTAGTTCTCCAAAGTAGGAACTCTATGGAGACATAACATTCAGATTCATTTGAGTTCTCACCTCCAGATGAAAGCATGCAGCACAGGACTCGTTGACGGGTACATCCCCACATTTGAAGGCAGGAAGCTTTAAGAGACAGTGCAAACCATAAACACTTTGTTCTAGTTCAAGTCTTCTTATTTGTGAATGCCAAGTGAATACTCCATTTACTCTATTTCAGGAAAACAAATGCAGATTTCAGATATGAGAGTGTTTACATAGTGTGATATGAACCTACCTGACCCCTGGGGTTAATGTCCATGACTTCCTTTGACTTGTGCTCCCCCTTCTCAAAGGACAGCAGTTTTTGGTTGTATCCTTGCAGGTTCTTCTCCTCCAGAGCAATCATTATCCTCCAGCAGGGAGGAGATCCGGAGCCCCACAGCAGAGTCATGTCCTTGGCCATGATTTCAGAGTGAAGCGCTTAACCTGACAGCTGAAGTTGAGGAATGTTTAAGACTGAAGCTGGAGTGGGTGAAAGCCCTGGCTTTATAGCGCCAGTCGGCTTTGTCACGATTCCTGGAAATAAGCCCCATCCCATTTTTGTTCTCCTGCCAAAGATCTGTCACACTAAGATAAATGACACTTGTTAAGTTTAAACTTGGTGTCATGTTAACCTTATGTGACACTTTTTAAAAAATCTGATTTATTAACCATTTCTGTGTGATTTGTCTATAGGACTCTAGTCCCAAATATCACCAAAGGCATTTGGAGGAGAGGTGACTAGTCTTGCTTTTCTCAGAAAGTCTTC